CAGCGCTGTCAACAAAGCAAAGGGTGGCTACCTTTTAGGAATATAAAACATAGAACATATTTAGAGTTATTTATCCATTTTTTTCTTTTCTACATAATTGCATATATCTTCCTCCATATGTTTGATGTCTTCAGTATGTGTATACAATGTAGAAAGTAGTAAAAAATAAAGAAAAAACTATCAAATTAGAAGGTGTGCCCAAACCTTTGTCTGGTAGTATGAATATATAACTCAATCCCCCACATATGGATGCTGGAGTGCCTAGATCAGGGGTCCCCAATCCCAGTGTCATGGTCCTGGGTCTTTTGACCCAGCGTTTTAAGTTTGAGTTTATTTTGTTCATTAGGTTATCTAAGTTCATTTGGTTATTAGACTCCTTGTGTTTTCTTCCCCTGTATTTAAGCTTCCCCTCACCCTTCGTGTTTCATGCTGCGTGTCTTATGTTATCAAGTTTGTATTATCATGCATAAGTGTTTCTAGTTCTTATTATTTCCCCCTCGTGTTTCCAACCATGTTAAATCTCCCCTGCTCTTCATGCGTTTCATGTCTGTGTCTTACATTGTCAAGTTCTGGTTGTCGTGTCTAAGTCTGCATGTTTTCTGTTTTATTTTGAAAAGGGGTCTTGTGTTCTGTGCTCATGCGGTTAGTTTTACTCTTGCCTGTGCATCATTATGTTTATCCTAGTCAGCTGTTTCCTCATGTGTCTCCACTTCCCCTAATCACCTCCTGCGTATTTAAGTCCTCTGTTTTCAGTGTGTGATTGTCAGGTCGTCTGTTGTCCATGCCATGCCATGCTTCCAAGTTTCTTGTCTAGGTTTTTCTTATTGTTTGTTTAGATTCCCCAGTTTAGGTTTGTGTTAATTTTGCTTCAGTTTGCCTTGCCCTTTGTTTGTACCTTTTCTACCAGCCATATTAAACGGCTCACCTTTTGTTAACATTCAAGTTTTGTTCCCTGTTCCCTGGAGTCTGCATTTTGGGTCCTTTTTTCAATTCATACAGTCTGCCCTCGCCAGACTGTGACACCCAGTCCATGAGGGCCGGTGTCCCTGCAGGTTTTAGATCTCACCCTGGGTCAACACACCTGAATCACAAGTTTAGTTCATTACCAGGCCTCTGGAGAACTTCAAGACATGTTGAGAAGGTCATTTATCCATTTAAATCAGCTGTGTTGGATCAAGGACACATCTAAACTCAATAGAAATGTGTTGAACAACACTAGAGGCAGGACTTTAAGCCAGTAGCACAAGTCACCATCAAGTCTGCCAAGTGGTCTGTCCCCACTGCTAGTCAGAAGTCAGAAATGAGGTGATTGCACTACCAGAAGGCAACATTGCAGACATCGAGGACAGCTACGTGTACCAATCCCAAAGCCAGATGGAAACCACGAAGAGGTCACTAGGAAAGCCACAACCACCAAATACCTGCAAAGAGTCAGGCAAGTGCTGAGGAATCAGCTGAATAGAAAGAACAAGATCTGGGCTATCTTCACCTACGCCCTTCCACTGAACAGGTACCCTGCTGGGATTATAAACTGGCCAACGGAGGAGACAGAAGCAACTGGCATCAAGGCAAGAAAGCTCCTTACCATGGAGGGGTTCACCCCAAATCTAGCACCCTGAGACTGGACACTAAGTGAAAGGAAAGGAGGCAGAGGAGTGGTGAGTGTCAGAACCACTGCCCAGGATAAGACAACAAACATCAATCAGTACATTAGGAAGATGGCTAAAACTGACTGTGTGATTGCTGAATACTTCAGGCAGCAGGAACCCAAGAAAGAGGAGCAAGGAGAAAAACCATCATTGACGGCGACAGAGGAAGTGGCTAACATCCAAAACCAGTGGCTGGACAAAGCTGGACTGAAGGACAGCACAGAGGCACTAATCATGGCAGCACAGGAACAAGCTCTGAGTACAAGATCCATAGAGGCTGGGGTCTGTCACACCAGGCAAGACCCCAGGTGCAGGCTGTGTAAAGATGCTCCTGAGACACTCCAGCACATAACAGCAGGGTGCAAGATGCTAGCAGGCAGGGCATACATGGAACGCCATAACCAAGTAGCTGGCATAGTGTACAGGAACATCTGTGTCGAGTATAACCTGGAAGTCACGAGGTCAAAACGGGACATGGCCCTCAAGGTGGTCAAGAATGACTGAGCTAAGATCCTGTGATACTTCCAGATACAGCCAGACAAACTGGTGATGGGTAACCAACCGGGTATAGCAGTGGTGGACAAGCAGAGGAAAACGGCTGTAGTGATAGATGTAGCTATACCGAATGACGGCGGTATTGGGAAGAAGGAACATGAGAAGCTGGAGAAGTGCCAATGACTGAGAGAAGAACCTGAGAAGCATTCGGAGCACTCAGTGCAGTGACCTCCAAGGTAGGCGAGTGGCTCCAGCAGATCCCAGGAACAACATACGAGATCTCTGTCCAGAAGAGCAGTCCTAGAAACAGCAAAGATACTGGGCAGGACCCTCACGCTCCCAGGCCTCTATATCCTCCTTTACATTTTTAGTGAAATGCATTTTCGCTCCTACAAAACATCTTACAAAGATGCCCATATAATGAGACACAGTACTTGGAGAGGGCTTAGCCTTTTGGGTTCCAAGAGCATTTTCTGGTTACTAGTGTGGTGAACCAATATTCAGTCATTTGTCTGAAAAGAAGCAATGATGGGAAAACAAGAAAATAAATGAAAAAAACATGTCGATATGTTGTTTACAAATACAATTACCGTAGGTCACAAGTAAATGAGATCTCAGAGAAAATGTATTTCAGCTGATGCAGGTGTGATTGGTAAAAGACAGGGAATTTTTTTTCAATGCGAGTAACCACAAGCATCTTAAAGTCAAATTGAAACTCAAGTTTTACAAAAAAAATCATCAATGTTTTGTTAATTCCTTTTGTCAATTCCTTTTTATAACAAAGGTTTTATACTTTTATACTAATTGTGCATTCATGCATGTTTTTGTGATACTGACTGACAAATCTTATTAAAACATCACTGTTAGGCCAGCATTGTTAGCAGCACCATGTTAGCAGCTACCATTTCTGTGGCTACTTGCATTAACATGCATTATGCTTTGAATGTTGAGGTTACATGAAAACATTTATTTGAACTTCCCAAGTCTGACTTTAGCTTTTGTAGAGGAAACCATTAACAAAGGCAATCTGATACTAAATCTCTTTGCTTTCAATGAACAGGAGCGGCTGATCACTCTAATAACATTGAAACTGAACAACACTGAAAAAACAACAACATCTAATTGGAATTTAAGAAGCTTGGAAAGAAAAGTGACTAGACTTCTTTAAGTCAGCTCTCATCCGAGAAGCTTCCTCACTTCTAAGACCAAATAGTGGGGAGTTCAGGGTTTTTTGCACTAGTGGGAGTTGTCCCTGAAGATTGTTGTTGACCCACTATAGATCACTTGCCTCATCGCATGAGCCAAGATGTAAAAAAGGGTGTGAGTCATTAGCAGCAGAGGTTTCGGGTGTGCGTGGGTGTTAAGACGTCTGGAAAGGGATCTCGAAACTTAGTTTCGTAAGCCACCACCTCTGTTCAAAGATGGACGTTCACATACATTCACATGGACATAGATGGCTTCTTTCACTGCTCTTTCAAACCATCTGTCCTCTCTGTCCAAAAATATGAACACTGGCATCCTCGACAGAGTGACCTGTGTCCTTTAGATGCGGATGTACAGCTGAGTCTTGTCCTGTCGAGGTGGCTCTTCCATGTTGTGCCATGTGTTTATGAAGTGGCTGTTTGCCACTTTGCTTTCCAAGCTCCTTAAATTACCATGACCTGGATGACTGAAAACCTACACAGACATCTACTGGCAACCAATACTCACCTTAGCTAGCTAGGAAGACTTCATTTTTACAAAGTCCAATTGCAACGTAAAACAATTTGTCCGTCTATTCTCTATTATTGTTTATGTCCTATTACTTGTTATTAAAAAATAAAACAATTTTTACTCCTTGCCTTGCATCTGTAAGTGACCACTGCCTGGACTTGACAGAGCAGTATCATATTTATCATATCAAGTGTGTCTGGATGTTATCTGGTAAAACTCAATAATATTGAAGTCTGTTTTATTCCTGTGAACACTGTGAGTGTGTAACACGGATGCATTGAGAAAAATTGGATAATGAAGTGAAAGTCAATAATTTACGTGATCACTTGAGTGAAGATTTTTTTGCATTATGAATTACTAAAGCTCCAGGAACAGAGCTAGGCTGTGCAGCAATTTGGCAATTATATGCAAATTGCTACAGAATGAAAAACAAAACAAAACAACTATTGACCACTGAAAAACATTAGCAGCAAGTAGTGAGTAGTGGCACTTTCTCTGCTGATAAATCTACTCAAAATGTCTAGTCGGCTTACTCCACCACATTTAGGACTTGATTTCACTGCACCGACAGATTCTGAAGATAGAAACCATTTGTGTTTATGCTTGTTTCCCTAAAGCCTTGGTTTAAGGTTATTATGATTTTTTAAAGCCTCTGAACTGCATTAACTAAACTAGACACATAACTGCCATGCAGGACCTATCTTGTATAAAAAGCACAGATTACACCAGCGTTCATGGTAATACTTTGTGTTCTGCTTCTTCTTTTCACAGAGATGTGAATGAGATGTCCACACAGTATGTTATTAGTATAAGCAACAATTAAAAACTGTACATTCATTCTGTAGCTTATATTATCGTACACAAAAAGGGGAGAGAGGAGAAGAATTAAAGTTTCAGGTTGGCTTTACTGTCTGGAGGGCCATGTCAAGTATGTCAAGTCATGTGAAAACCTTTTCTTTCAAATGTAACTGCCTTCATCAAGTCCCCAGGCTGCCACCTGACAGGATCAGTGTACACATGTAACGATACAACAATGTCCAGCTAATGATCTGATGCTGCTAGTAGTCCTGGAGAGGACTCATGGATTGGTGGTGTTGATGTTATCTGCTGTCTGTGCCAAATCCATGGCAGAGATTGACTCACCGCGGGTGTTGCTGGAGAGACGTTTGCGTTGGCTGGTGGAGGTATTGTGGGGAAGCAGGGTGTTCTGCTGGTGGTTGCTATCGATGGGACTCGTGGCAATGATGTTGTCCTTGTATTTGTTCATTAGCGCCAACTTGGTGTTGTCACTCACTGCAGATAAGAAGAATGATTTTTTAAATGTAAGCTAGGAGACGTACCAACCTTAAAGCATCCTAAAGTCACGTGTTTTATATTTGACACATGAGTTTGAGGTGGAAGGTTCAATAAACACTCTTTTTTGTTTAATTGAATTTTTGGGCAAAGAGTTAAAATGAGAAAGCACCCACTTGGAAAAACATTTTTGTTTCTTTGCTTTGGCTTGACGTGGCAAGCATAAAGTATTACCAATACTAAGAAAGAAAATCCAGGATGTTGTTTGCTGTACCAGAAGTCAAACAGGCAAAATTAAAGACAGACAAAAGCTGGCATGAAATGAAAACTTATTAGGGCATTAGACAGAGCCCATTTAAGCCTCAGAGGGAAAAATGATCTATTTCTGTAAATATTAAGAGCTGAAGTTCCATGGAAACACTAAAAATCAAATATTACTGCAGATATGTGACTGTCATGGTATTTAGTCACAGACACTGTTTGTCATGGTAGCTGTAATTTTCTGCCAATGTCAGTATGTCCTCCACTTTGTTCCAGTTTAAAAAAAAAAAAAAGCACACATCTGTGTCATGGATTCGGATTAAACTTAATTCAGGATCTCTGTGGATGATGTTTTCAGAGCCACTACAATGCCTTGTCTCACCATAATTTCTAAAATATGTGTGCATTAGCTTAGAGAATTGCAAAATAGCAAAAAGAAATGAGCAAAAGCATGAATTATTAACAAAAATAAACAAATCCATCAGTATTTTAAAACGTCGCTTGCAGACGTCTAGTATGTGGTATATTTTCTAATACATGTCATTGTATTCAATAATTAATAAACCCAACTAGTTTTTTCAGTATATTTGTCCATCTCAGTGTAATTCAAACTAATAAATAATGACACAAAATGTCTTAATAACAATAAACTACAGATAATTTAACATGTATTTCTCTATTATTAATGTCTTTTTTTAAAATATGGAAACAATAAAATGTTGCAATTGTGCAAAAGAAAAATCTTTATGAAAATGTTGATATTTTAAAGAAATAAAGTTTTATTTCAAAACATTTAAACGAGACATTTGGTAGAACAACAGTAGCCGCACTACCAGGTACAGTAAACTGTAAGACAAGATTATTTTGAAGAAGTACAAAGTGCACAAGTGACAACAGACACGAAATACCCCTGACATCTTGTTTTTCATTTGTTTATGTATGTGTACCTACTACATTATACATAGAGCAGAGAAAAGGTCAGAGGAGCCAAAACACATTTACTGAAATTCATTATTTTAAGTCTAAATTCAAATGTTATTTTCTGAGTGACCTCTCTGATGTTCACGCTATTTACTATTCCATGCATGAGCTGCTGTCTCCATGTTTTATTTCTCTAGTTCATTGCGTTACACATCTTAAATGCATTATGCACAGGATTACTCTGCTCCATAAGCGCTGGGGTGGAGCGGTTTGGATTTTACAAGAGCACAGCTATAAGAGATCTCCTGATGAATCCGAGTGGTGACTCTCTCCTTAGTTGAAATTCAGAGGCTGTACCTTCATCACAACTGCTCCACTTCATGAAGTAATTCTCATGGGAGTGGTGCTCAACTCCAAAGTCCACCAATTATGAAAAATGCTTTCTCTAAAACATAAAATCCAGATTTCTTGGCAGGTACGTGGCTCCATAATTATGTCAGTGGTGACAAAAATACTCTTTAAAGTTTTTATATTTATATGTGATCTGCATCCTACATGGGTCACACAGCTGATGTTATTCTACTAACTGTAGAAACAAGTGAACAAGATGCCTTATGTTTGTGGATTTCCACCATGCATGTTTGTAAAAATGTTTTTTTATCCTCTATCATTCCCTCCAAATTCATTTAGATAATTACTTCTAACCTATGAGAGAAAATAAAACTTATGTGTTTTAATTAAAAATCCAATTAATTTTTCATTTATTTCACTCTGCAATTGCTGCAACTGAGTTTGTGCAATACACAAACATAACCCCCTTTGACGCATTGTCTTGTAACTTAGAAAACCGTGTGGCTGAGGAGGAGGAAAAACAAATGCATTAATAAGATGGGTAGATGAACATCTGCAATAAAATGTAACTGCTTTATGACTATAAAAGATAACATTTCATAGCAACATGGAGTCTCAACCTCTATCATTGCTTAGAAAAATGCACAGTGTCAGATGAAAACAAACAAAGAAACATCTCCGGCTTGGAGCTACGCGCTTGTCTCTCGTTTGGTAGGACATGAAATTATCTGTGTTTATCTGCTGAAAATGAGTAACAGCATAAGATGAAATAAAACAATAAATACTCTTTAATGCTAAATACCAATAACAGCCAATAAGCCGATGACCCTAAAGTCAAGGTAAATAATCTGTACTTGTAATTATCATGAGAAATATCGTTCAGTGCACTTGTTCTTTAGGTCGCGTGTCTTTTCTGACCTGGCTGTTTGTGCATCTTTCAGCTTACCAGGTGCGAGGTCCATATTATTCTTGTCATTACAGCCCTGGAGCGAGTCCAGGGTACGGGTGACTTGGCTGGCAAATTCCTCCCCACCATTCATGCACTCCCGCTGCAGATGGTGACGCAGGTCGGTAATGTCATACTCATACCTGGGGATGTAGTTGAAATCAATTAGCGAAATCATTATCAGGCTTGTCTAAATTAGAATAAATGTCACAAGTGGCTAATGTGTGACGCAATGTACTGATAAAGGCATCAAAACACATTACAGGCTAATACAATAAAACCAAGTGTGTTGTGTACAGGCTGATTTGTGGAAGCAGCTGTCTATATTCAGGCAATATTAGGCTCTGCTTGTGTAGCATGGAATTAACAAGATACTGTTATTCAACTCAGCAATGTGTACGCATGCTGTGTGCTTATATTTAGGGCTTGAGCTCTAACCATCCCACATCCAAACCCTGCTTGTACCCATCCAAAATCGGTGTCTCCCGGATACTGAGGGTACCGCTGGAGTTTGGACCCTGACCCCGGGAGTTCCTCAAGCTCTCGCGTGCCTGGCCTCCCATCAGCACTGATGGGATGTAGTGGATCTCATTAGCTGCCTCAGCACTCGCGCTCTTCTGGGGCTGAGGGATGCGGCGGCGTTTACACCAGCGCCTGCGAGTGTAGAGGATCAGGACCAGGCAGAGGATGGACAGCAGAAGGGCAATCATCCCGCCCTGAGGGGAGGAGGGTGGCATTTGGAGGAGAGACAGAAAAAAAAGGGGGGGAGAGGAGACAGAAGCGGAGAGAGAGAAAGCAGTGTGAGTCAAAGGCGAGAACAGAGTCAGAAAATCTTGCCAATAGAATACGGATCAAAGTCAAAGTCGCGATGCCAACAGCAACATTTGAAAAAGGTTGCAGCGACAGTTTACTGTCTTGAATTACGCCTACAGTGTTTTTACATGACGCCAGCTCTCTGAAACATTCCTCTACTTTGCTTCAAGGTGAAACGGAAGCAGAATACGCCTTTTATCTTCATTTGTTTAAACTAATCTTAACTCATGGCAACATTTTAAGTGCTGAGATTTTTTCTTAAATTTAAAAAATGCACTTATTCATGTTGTTGCATGTGTCATACCTCAACAGATAGGCACAACAGTTTGGCTCTGTGTAAGAATCCAACCCTCTAATTAAAATGTTCCATCTCATTAGGTCAACACAAAAGTCAGAAAATCATACGCTGTGGTTTAATGGAGTACATGCCAAACAGTCTTGCCCAGGAGCAGCACCTTCAGCCCTCACATTGATGAAGAACATTACATTTTCCAATACAGGTTGCATTTGTTTGCACTGTATAAATTGCATACGCTGCAAAATGTAGACTGCTTGTGCATGCTTATGTTTTCATATGATTAAGGTCTTTGACAATGAACTGAATTTTTAAAATAAAAATATAATACTTGTCTATGAAAGTATAGTAATCTTAGAAAACACACGCATGTAGCAAGTGGAAAGAGAATGAAAAAACAGTAACCAACAACGCTGTTATTTACATGCAAAGCTGTAAATACCACTAAAGGGAAAACAATACTGAATACAGGATCACTCTTCAGTTTCACATCCACTGACACTGTTATAAAGCCCAAGCTGATCTGATGGGAAGCATATGCAAAGAAAAAAAGAAATAACTATGAAGGCTGTTATGAAGTTTACACACATTTACAGGAATGAAGCTCATGGTAAATTTAGGCTTTAATGATTTGCATGACTTCTATATTCTTTTTCCATGCTGACTAATTTCAGTGACTTTAAATACCAAGAATTAGGTGCACAGGTTTGAATTTTTGTCTATTAACGGTCTATTACCCTTCAATTAGAGATCACATTTGACTAAAACTGTGTTTTTTTGCCAGCACAAAAAGGACTGGTTTGTTCTGACCAATACTCAGAACACTGGGAAAGAATTCTAGAATATATACAAATCTGTTAGGAAGTCAGTAAGTACAGTGTACGTGTGATGTTTAAGGATCAATGCTTTTAAAAACAATGTAACGCTGGTGACCACCTGTAGTATGAACTTGAAAATCGCTTCACTGTGAAGTGATCATATTCACAAGATTATCAGAAAACCTGACCTCTGACGCTGAGTTTGAGGTCACCACGATTTAAACTTTTCCTACTTTTTAGCAGATGCTACTATGGCATCAATTTGACAGTGCAAAGGCACCTCCTTCTCAAGTTATGGCATTCACAAACTTGGGTGTCCATGCTGGCCACCCGCTCTGCAGTGATATCAGTCTTTTAAATGAGGGTTAAAATCTGTTGTAGAATAGTTTGCATTAGCTCATAGCTCTATAACTGGCAGAGCTAGTCCTGCTAGTCAGGCAATCGTCTCGCTGCCAGTTGTTGATTCTCACCATCCACTACTTTGCTCTTTGATAGATACATAAACCTGAAAACTACTTTTACACAGCCAGAATGGCTGTGTAAAAGTAGTTTCATGTCTCATGTACTGCTGTCTCTGTTTACATCAGGACTACTAAGGCAAAATAAGATCTACTATTAAGCATTTACTGCAAATAAAAATGGATTAAGGAATGTAACCAACACAATTTTGAGAAACCTGGTTATTCATTTCCTATTTTGGAGTTTCGAAGGTCCTCTACCATCTGCCAGTGGGTTGTGGAGTACCCTCAGCACACCTGCTTTTCAAAACATGGTAGAGGTGCAGAGCTGCAGATAGTGACCAAAGTGTCATCATGTTTGTTTTAGTACCTGTCACATGCATTTGATGCTTCACACCAGTGAACTTGCATCATCACTCAGCTAGTCTGAGAAGAGAACAGGTAAGCTCAGCTGACGTTCCCCTGTTAGGTGACTGATGTTGGCTGCGTAGTTTTGAATGGCCTCTCTTTCAGGTTTTCCCACATTTTCCATGATCCATTCACCATCCACGGAGTGACAACTGAGACTCATTTCATTTCCACGGGTTTTGGATGTGTATCCATTCCCATCTCACATTTTATCTGCGGCTTCACAATGTACTTGTTGAAATTTGTATCATTTTAATCTCTAGCAGTGAAACTCAAGCTACAACAAAAGACTTCGTTAGTTGCTTCCAGTGTTACTCTCTGCAGACACTGAAGCTGCAGTGTGATCAGCTCGGGCCCATTTCACATCACAACGCAGAGATGTGACAAAAGTCAAAAACAAATGTGCCCCGCTCGCGGCCTGTGGAAACGCACAAGACAGAAGTCAATTGTGACATTCAACTCAGGAGGTACTGATCTCAGATGACTGGGTCAGGTCACATAACTGTTTTTATTTTCCTCTTTTTCCCTCTGATTTTAACGACTTATGAGGGAGCTGATGGTGTAGAAGCATGCAGTGGCATCTACACCCGCAGAGAAGGCACAAGATGGACAGATGAAGGGCGACGAGCCTGCCCTGAGGACAGGTTAGCAGAGTGGATCGAGACAGAATCAGACAGAAACCGGAGAGAGAGAGCCAATGAAAGGGTTTACAGTCAAAGGGAGAGCAGAAAAAGCGAGAGCAGAGTCAGAGAATCCTGCCAAGAAGCAGGATATGGATCAAAGTCAAGGCAAGTCAAAAGCACACAGCCTGTGAAAACACAGTGAGAGAGGGATTCTAAGTCTGAATATCAGCCCGCAGCTCCTCTATAGATAAAGGCAATGATTGTTCATGGGCAGTTTTATGTTTTTGAGTGTGACTGTTTTGAATATTTAAAGTAATGAAAGACCGAGAATGATGAGATAACATTCAGACAAGACTGTAACACATAACACTGCATGCACTGTGCATGCAATTTATCACCTCCCTGCGACTAATCTGATACCAGCAGCTGAGCTCCATCAAAAAATCAAAATCAGATAAATTGTGCAATTTGGAAAAGGTCAAAAAGAGTTATGAAAATGTCAACTTGACAGTGCACGTAGAGACAGACGGGAGGAATCTAACACACACGACCTTTTTTTCTTTTAAGAATTAAACCCACCAGTCTGAAAAATTTACAGCAAACTGGATAAATTCTCCCTCCGGCTAGGTGTTCACGTGTTTACTTAACTTGATACATAAACATCCAAAATGATCTTCTTTCTCCTGTTCATTCAAAATAATAAGTAAAGTACACCAGTGCCTAACTGATCCTGCCTGTAAGCGATACTCATTCACCACACTGGTTAAGTGAAACTGATTCAAAAACAGTGACCGGAAAAAAAATCAATTAGAAAAAAACTGCGTCAGCTCAGTCAAACAAGTACAGTTATGCAAAGATAAGCAAAAATGATTAACTGAAAAATGGATTTCAATGAGTCATTTACATAAAATATCCCTTTTCAAACATATTAGGGAGTCTGTGGCTGAATAAAAATGGGATTTTGGTTGCTATTATTAATTTAAATCAGCAAATGTTGCGGCCGATTTGCATAAGTTGTTTGTTTAATCTGCACAGTCAAGGACATTAACAAATAGCACCATGATATGGGTACTTGTGCAGTAAATCTGCATGTGCAGTGGACAGAAAGGAGACGAGGGTCATTTTGTTTGCGACGATTACATTTTTAGCTCTTTGAAAGTCACCCTTGCAAACCTCTTTTCACAGAAATGAAGCAGTGACTCTAAATGCAACTGAACCAACGGAGGATCTGACATTTCTCTCTACCAGAACAGTCGTGGACGCTGACAGCAGCAACACACTTAAAGTTGCACTAAAACTGTATAAATGAGTCTCTGTGAACCATTTGCTGCCTGCTAAGAGAACAACATTAACAACTTGTGGCTGAAACTATTAAAGAATTTAGTAGGTAAACAGCCAGTCTCACACATTTGGTGGAGAGCAAAACAAGAGCAAGACCTACAGTTTATATAAAACATGACAAATTAGCACCCAAGTAAATCTCAATTTGCTTGTAGCCTTCATTACAAGGAAATGGCTTTAACGGGGTTTTTATCTCAGTTTCTTTTTAGTCTTTTAATGATTGTGGAAAAAAAACTTTTTTGCATTTATTTTTACTATGATGCTTCTGTGACATCTCCTGTGCAGTGGTGATTTTGCCTCTCCCTTAAAGCCTCACTCCCTGTTTAGTGTGACTTGAGGGTGGCTGAGTGAAAGAGAGCCTTCAGTCAGCAGCATCTATGTGAAGAAAGTAAAACTATCGAGGTTTTGTTGTTGAACCCGTGGATGCGGATCATATAGATTCTCTCACGTGGTGCCTTTCTATAGTATGCCTCCCATTGCTTTAAGCATTGGTTATCTCTTGCTTGCCCGGGGTAGTTGCCATGTAGATTCCCAAGGCATGTGAGTCTACTGCCACCTGGGGCTCTCTCCACCCCTGCCTGCACCCGCAGATATCCCACAGTGATGGCAGACAGGCTTGCCCCTGTTGCAAGGGCAAGCCTGTCTTGCCCTTGTAACAGTCAAAAACACTCTCCAGTCAGGACCCCGTGAACCAGCGTCCTCCACCACTTTCTTCCCTTTATGTGTTTTTCATTTTCATTTCAAGTTAAAGAAAGCGTCCTCCAAAAGACATAATCCCATTCACTCATACATATTTGTGTTAACTGATCAAGACTATGTGCCGACTGTAACATCAGAATGACTTTTTTGTTTGTGCTCTACATCTACCTTTTTTCAGACATGCAACTAAAATGTCTAGATCCCTCTTTCTGTATGTACTGCATTTCTCAACGCGAATGATTCAAAGCATGCCGAAGCGTA